AGGAATCTCTCGTTAGAAACCCCCAATAAAAATAATCTTACTTGCACTAAACAATGACTTATATACCTTTATACCCCCTCAGATATATAATTAAACAGTGACTTATATACCTTTATACCCCCTCAGATATATAATTACTAAAAATGTTTAAAGTGGCCATCTCAATCACTGAATCCAACTTGATGATATAAAAGGAATCTGTGAATCTAAACAATTTTAGAATCTATTAAACTATGATATTTTTATATACCAACAAAATGATATGTTCCGTAGCTCAACCTCACGATTAAATTTTAAGCAGTTGCTCACTCTATGTATCAGTTTTGATGCTTGGTTTCTTTATAACTATCATAATTGATGCAGCAAAGCTAATTTTTCCATACGTATGTATATTAAAAATAGCGTATATATCACACCCACAAAACAAACTTGAATCTTAGATTATAACTAGTCATCAATTCCAAAAACACTAGATGGATTTTATAATTTTGACTATTAGGTAGAATACTATCTCATTATCTTTTGTTTATATATGCATGGAACTCATAATTAGTTTTTACCAAAAAAAAAAAACTCATAATTAGTTACCTTGAATTGATCTTTGATTGTACGGTATTAAAAAGCATACCTTCTGTTGCCAAAAATAGTTTTAGACATGTCTGCATAGTATTGTAATTATTATTATAAGAAAATTGGAAGTTTAGTACCAATGAAGTATTTCTAAAAAAAAAAAGGAGTATTTTTTTCTCCAACAAAAAGAAAATAAAAATACTAGAAATTTTTAAAAGAAGCTTATTTTTTCTCTCTATATAATGAGAAGCAGGAATATCACAAAGAATCACAACGAACAAAAAAGAACCCCTAAAGCTCTGATTTTTCTTTCTTCTTGTCGATAGCTAATGGCTCACAGTCACACTAATGGCAACATGATCTCTTCTTCTTTCTCMAAAAACTTAGGTAAGTTTGCTCTTCATAACAAATCCCACAGTATATATATCCTCATTTTTCAAAAAGTACAGGTCTTCGAAACCCTCAAATTTATCCATTAACACACTAATCATTTTATATATAGGTTTAACATTCACAAATTCTGTTTTGTACATGTCCATTATCATTAATTCCATTATGTTCTATATATATACACGAATTCTAAACATATATTTCTGGAGATTTCCTACAACATGAAATGTGTTTTTAATTTTATTGGTGAAATATTCTAGTTGTATTATTAAGTTGGTATATCCATAAATCATTTGAGAATCGAGAGGAAAGATTCAC